CGGCGGCGGCGGCGGCGGCGCGGGCGCCCTCGGGGCCAAGAAGCCCAAGGAGCAGCGCTCGCTGCGGCTCAGCATCAACGCCCGCGAGCGGCGGCGGATGCACGACCTCAACGACGCGCCGGACGGCCTGCGCTCCGTCATCCCGTACGCGCACAGCCCGTCGGTGCGCAAGCTCTCCAAGATCGCCACGCTGCTGCTGGCCAAGAACTACATCCTCATGCAGGCGCAAGCCCTCGAGGAGATGCGGCGCCTGGTGGCCTACCTCAACCAGGGCCAGACGCTCGGCACCTCCATCCCGCCCGGCCTGGCCCCCTTCGGACAGTCGGCCGCCGTCTACCCCTTCACGGGCGCCGCCTTGCCCAGCTGCCCCGAGAAATGTACTGCCTTCGCCGGGGCCGCCTCTGGCCTTTGCAAACACTGCAGCGAAAAGCCGTGACGGGACCCCGATGCTTCTGCGAAACTCCGGCCGGGCCCTTCCCTCGCCATCCCATTCTCAGCCCCCGCCCTGACTCGCCTTTTCCTCTTCACCTGCAACGCTTTCCTTCGCCTTCTCTTCCGGCAGGCATACTCCGGATTCTTTTCTCCCAGTCCACGACCTTGCTCCACTTCCTCCAACACCTTTCTCGATATTTTCGTTAAGACTTGTTTTTCACCATGTTCCCTTTTTTCCCCTTCTCAACTCTGCCCTGAATTAATTTTTGAGCATAACTTAAAACAGACAAACAAAAACTTGTCTATAAGGTTTTAAACCAGATTGTGAAATCTATTTCTATAGAAAGAATAACCGAGAAGGAAAAGTTTTGGAAAAGAAATTGCGGCCAGATTCCTTTTGGGAATGAATCATCCTGAGGACAAACTATGCAATTGTTTGGAGAATGCAAAGTTACTTAAAAAGACAAAATATTTCGGCAGTCTCTCCAAATTATAGTTGACGTGTTATCAAAAATGCTCCATTTTTTAAATTTCATTTTGGGTCATGATTGTGAATAGAAGCTTGCTTCATAATGGGTTGATCAGTTTATTACATACATTCATATCTTAAAACTTTGAACCCATTCTTGGTCTTAACTACAATCTTTTAAGTGTCTGTTGCTGTTTGTCTGCTCTTTTTAATTTTTTTTTCCTTTGCTTGCCTCTCCATTTTGGTTGAACCATTTTCTAGCTTGGTAACCTGGCAAACTAAAATTCTCTGAGCTTATTTATTTGTATTTATATTAAATAAAAAAAAACACATCAATTAACTCAGATGGTTCTGTCCTAAATCTCTCACAGTGCTGATTTGCTACATGAATTAATTCTGCAAAGAGTGACCATCTGTAAAGGGATGGTACCAAACTGAACACATTCTGCATAATGCCAAATAGTGGCTAATCCAGCAAATTGAAACAGTTTAAAATCCTATTGACTCCAGCTGGCTAATATTAAAAACCATGATTATTATTATTTTTTTTTTAGCTAAAAGCAATGAAAGTTTATCAAGCCATGGGATCTTCCTTCTAAGTAAGCCACTCCTTAGAATTAGATGTGTAAGGGTTTAATTTAATCTGAATTGCACCTACATAAAATTGGTAATAGGTTTTGCTGCTTTCGGTGATGTTTGATTGGGAGAAAACGAGGTTTGGCTTGGAGGAAGAGGAGCTCAGAGTCTGCAGTTGTTAACTTGTGTCCTCTTTCCAACAATTTGCCTCTAAATATAACTAGTGACGCTGTAGTAAGAATTTAATTTCACTAAAGGTTCAGCATCACAGCCTTATTCAGGGATGTTATTACAATTCCATGGAGATGATTTTTCAGAAAGAACATTTAACACTGGGAGGTCTAAATCAGTATTATGCATTTACTGTCTTTAACGTGAAATCCCTGTATATGTCTACTTGCAAGGAAGAGACACTGTAGATCCCTACAAGGTAATCAGGTATAGGACATTAGCTAAAGTCTTTTGCGGCTGTGCAGGAGAACATTCAAATGAAGGATGATTGCCTTGGGTCAGGCAAGGTGGCCTGGAACGTATGTATTTGTCATATGTGCATCTTTCTCATGTTTTTCAAAAATTCATAATGCAAAAGAAGAGAGGGGGGGTGCTTTTTTTGTTTTTTTTTAACTTGGCAGGTAGCTCATTCCTTGAAAGTCAGAATTCCCATGGAGGAACAGATGTTAAATTGGAGAAGGTGCAGGTTATACGACATTGTGTAATTGCAGATTATCCAGAAATCTTGCCCAAGCTGAAAGCTTTTCACTAAAGGTATGCCCATTTAGGGAGTCAGAACCAGTTTGTAGGTGTGAACCAATGTTTTTTATTTTTGTTTAAAAGACTGTTGGGTACGGTTCTTTGTGTTGCCTCCTCATCGGACAGCCACGATTCTGTAGTTTAGGATGCTTGGCTGCATACAGGCCACCCAGAACCCCCGGGCACCTGCTGAGTTTGGTGGGGTTTAACTCCAGATCACGTCCTCCCACTTCTACACCCATAAGCTTACCCAGTTCACTGAATGGAACCAGCCTTTGAAATTGCAACTGGAAGCTGGAATCCAGCTGGAAATGTTGTCCCTCTGTTTGAAATCATTGGTCCTGGGAATGCTTGGGCACCCTGTTAATTTATTGATTTAAATTGGGTGTAGCAGGGAGGGCCTGAAATGCTGATTATTCTATACAATAAACCAGGTTCTTTTGAACACTGGCTGAGTCGGTTGGTGCCCTGGGATTCCTCGTCCATTTAGATCTTTGGAAAAAGCTTCTTTGGACACATTCTGGTTAGTTTCCAGTATTTTCCCTTTTGGTAAGTTTTTGTCAAATGAATGTATGGCTTGTGGGTTCTTCAGGTAGCACGGGGGGGGGGGTGCTGGTGCTTCCAATGAAGTGATAATAAAGATATATTCAGTGACTTTTATTAAAGTAGGAACTTGCCATTCATTGTTACAGCTAAAACACAAATTAGTCCAGTGAATGCCTTGGGGCTTGATCTGTCCAAGCTATTTATTTTACAGATGAGAGGGAATGTAACTGTTTAAGGTTATTAAATTGATTTCCAGGACTGTTGCCAGCATTAAGACTAATGTGAGAAGGATTCATAGGGCTTTCAAACCTGCTTGTCTTTAGTGTTTTATTTTAATTAAAGTCCTCCCCCCCCCTTTTCCCCTTTTTTCTCTTGTATGTTTGCAAACAGAAATATGTAATTCCCTTCCATCGAGAAAGACACATGATGTCAAATTAGCGGCTTGCCATTTTCATTTCAAACTCTTAATTTCATTTTCTGAAAGCTACGTGTGTTTTCCCCCATTCCAAAATCACATTGGGAAAAAAGAAAGAAACACCTGTCTGTATAAAAAAAAAATAACAATCATAAAAAGCTAACAACAATATTTTTCACCATGCAGACGGATAGGGCGCAGACAAATCGTTTGGAGTATATTTTAACACTGGCTTCATTTAGAAATGAATCATGTGGTTCTGATAAACTTTTTTTTTTTCTGAAGGCTTAGAATTTAGCAAGGATTATTTCAAAGTGGAATCTTTTTAACTATTTAACACCCCCTTGTGAAAAAGCTGCTGAGTTAAATTCTTCTTAAGAGAAACAAGTTTTTATTTTACAAACTGCAGACTTCTATTAATAACTGTTGAATTTATAATTGCTCTCTCTTTAGATCAGAATGACTGCATTGTACTACCATTGCCAGTTTATGAAAATCTCCCGTAGTATTAAAGGAAGTCCTGCCTACACTGAGGTAAAGTGGAGGGGTTACCATTGCATTGTTGAATCTAGAAATGTTGATTGAATCAAATTGGGGGGTGAAACTCTGGGGTGTGCTAAATGCAGCCAGATTCTGACCAATTTTTTATATTCATTTATGGAGCATACTGGGGGGTGAGGGTGCAGTGAACATTTGCTTGGAAGCGCATCTTGCTAGCTTAAATGGGGTGCATTCTGCAATCAATACAGGTGGGTTTGCACCATAAATCTGCTCAGCGTTATGAGTATATGAGCGCTCAGTATTTTCAGAGGCTGGAAATTTGCTTGTTAATTGCTGTAGGCTAGCCAAAAAAAAAAAAAGACACAGATAGTTCAACCAAACATGGAAACTATGAAAGCCCACTTCTTGTACAGAAGTGGGAGTGAGAGAATGACCGTGATTATTTCTGCTCATTCTTTGCTGATCCGTTTTCCCCAGCCTTCATCAAGGCTTCCGAAACAAAAGAACATTCAGCTGCAGAAAAGTGAGGGGTGCTTGCAAGTGAGAATTCATGGGTTAGGGGAAAAAGGTTGAGTCCTCTCTCCTTTTTCTGCCCAAAGGGCATAGCCCCATCTGAGGACCATACATTTGCTGAGATGGCATGTTTTTCTGCCCTGAGGCGGAAAAAACTTCCTGTTATTCACCTGGTGAATTTTTGAATGGAAAAAACTGTTTTACCCAAGTGGAAATTCTGCATTAATAAGTTGGCTTTGGAATCCAACTTGATGCATGCAAGGTGTAAATAAATAGATAGCATACCTTTTAATTAAAATGTTATTAAAATGGGTAATTGATCGAATGCTATTGAAATCTGTTGAATGCTAACATTCACCTATAAATAAATAAGCCCCATATCTTATTTGGGCATGCCCTAAAAGTATAGATACATTTTCTTAGTTCTTGGACAGTCCTCAGAAAATTCCAGTAATTAGTTTTTGTGTGATGGCGGGGTCTGTTTTCACTGACACACCTCGTTACGGGTAGTATTGATGTACTATATATTGGAATGTTAAAAGTGAGGTCAAGCATCTGTATTTTCTTTCTTTTTAGCCATTCTCATGAAAGACAGTTTTCATTTAAATAGGAATTGTGAACAAAAATGGGATGAGGCTAGGCTTAAATAAGCAGATTTTTTTTAAAAATTCTTTTAAGTAAACCTGCAAACCTGTGCATTGAGAAAGAGGTGATGTGGAATGGAGTAGATTTTTTCCCCACATGAACATCTGTAGCATAAGCCGGCATATATATGTGGGTTTAGGATTTTACTAATGTACTTTTGAAAAAGATACTGTCAGCATCCAGAAAGCAGAATCCAGTCCCTTTTCAAGGCACAGAATGGATGTTGCTGGGTTTTTTTTTTTCTTTTTCCAATCTTGGCTGGAGAAAAATGGTTTTAAAAAATGAGCGTGAATTCACAAGTGTTTCTTGCAGGGACAGAAAGCAGGCAGAAGCTTCATTCTCAGATTGAACCCACAGTTCCCAAATTCTCTGCTTACCTATAAACAGAAATTACAAATATATCAGTCAAGTTGTTATAGGTATTCCCAGTTATACCTCTTAGTCATTGTCCTGTTTGAAGCGAAGAACCTTTCTTTAACTCTGGGGGATTTCTAAGCTGATTTCAACATTTGAAAGAAAAAGGGAGGCAGAGCAGTTTGAAATAGGAACTATTGTTTTATGCAAAAAGTCTGTGTCCTTGCATATGTTA